CCCCCAGGGGCCTCCGAGAACCGCAGCTATGGTCGGACTGGCCTCGCTGCGACCCTAGGAGAGAGGCAGTGACCCCGGAGCCCCCTCCTGCAGGACAGCGTCACCCGGCCTCCTCCCCTAGCAGAGGCTCCTGTCAACACGCCCCCTTGTCTCACCAGCTCTGAGCCTTCAGAAAAGCCCATGTTTCAGCCCGCCCGCGCGGGCCTGTCAGTCACACCGAGGCCCTGCAGACGCCCCGCCTGAGGGGAGCAGCCCCCCAGGCGGAAGGCATGACCCGCCACCCGGTGGGCTCCTCTGCGCTGGGAGGAGGGCGCCAGGGCCAGCCGTGGGTGCCCACCCGCCCGGGTCACCCGTGCACCACCTGGCTGCCCTAGGACCAACCAGGACACCCAGGCGGCCAGGACTCGGGTGGAGGAGCCGACTCCCCTGAGCTGAGGCAGCGTCCACTGTCCACTCCGGCTCCCGTGGGGCCTGGCCTGGTCCTCCCGCCACGGCAGAAGGGGTTCACTCGTGAAACACAAGGAGCCCCAGGAGCCCCAGAACGTTAAACCTGCTGGACCCCATAAAGACCGATCACAAATGGCAGCTGGGCGCGCTCATGCAGGTGGGTCGGTGCGGCTAATCCAGGTGAGTTCCCAGTCTGGCTGGCAGTAGGGAGCCCTGCTGGCAGAGGAAAGCCAGGGCACCCCACTCCAGTGCGGAAGGGCAGCATCGACTAGAAATGCGCTTTTTCTTTGAAGTCCCAGTCTTCTCTTTAATGTTCATTCGATGCCACACACCTTTGCAGCTTGTTTGATAGTGCATGCTGCGTGGGGTAAAACTACCTGGCCAGATGCTGAGGGGGCGCCCCAGGGGAGTGCAGCAGGGGGAGCAGGGTGGGCTGGAGCTGTTCTGTCTCCAGGAAGGTCGCTTTAGGGGCTTCGGGATGGAACAAAGCATCTGAAGTCGGGGGCCTTCCTCATAATTTTATTTATTTTTAAAGATTTATTTGTGCATACAGAACTGGGGTACAGGCCAGAGGTGCAGGGGCGGTGAGAGGCTTCACCAGAGAGAGACTGGGGAGCTGAACAGGCAGATTGACGAAGTCCACTGCTGAGGGGAGCAGCGGGAGGGTCAGGTGAGGTCAACCCCCTGGCGGGGGTCGAACTCGGACCTAAGTGGCTGCCGCCAGCTTGCAGTGCTGCACCTTGACCTGCTGCGCACCAGGGAGGGCCCCTCACAATTTTAACCAAGACATTGCCCTCCTCTAGGCACCCGCGTGCCCTCGATCTTCAAACGGCCAAGTTATCTCGGGCCGAGCCTTAAGCCCCCCGCTCTGAGCTTAGCAGGCGATCACGGTGCTTCATTTGACTGCTCATTTGGAGCTCAGAGAATCCGGGCAAAGGAATTTATGGTTTCAATTTCTTGGAATAGACGTCAGATGGGAGTGGGGTGGGGGGTTGGGTAAGAGGGGGTGATGCTGCAGTGCCACACACTACCATTGTGGGGTGCAGACCCCGCTGGAGCCCGGCAGTGAGAAAGGGGCGCCGGCCCAGGGCGCCGGCCAGGCCCCTGCAGGGTAAATGGAAGTGGCCAGGTTTCCCGCTCTCCCACCATTAGCGCCAGTGGTCTACACCTGTGGGCTCACACGCGCGCCTGATGGCGGCGCCTGTGGTGGGGGCGTGCGTGGGCGCACTGCGTGGGGGACCCTGGGCGGATCAGGCCCTCGCGGGGAGAGAGCGGAGGGCGGCAGAGAAGGCTGCGGAGGAGGGCGCGTGCAAGGCTCCAGGGGCCCAAGGCGCTGTCTCCCTGCGGGCGGGTCTCCCTGGCCGTGAGCGTGCTGCCCAGGGCGGCGAGGTCCCCTGTCAAGCTGCCTGGACCCGTGATGAGCCCACGCGCCTGGCATGGTGGCGGAACAGCCCCGAATGGGAGATGGGGTGGCAGGCTCAGGCACCTGCCTTGGGGGCTCTGTGGCCGGCTGACAAGGACATCACTGGCTGACCTGAGGTGGAGCCGGGGGCTCCCGCCGAAGGTGTCCACTTTGGGGGTGACCGGGATGGGGCCCCGGACCCACCTCCTTCCTCCTTGGGCTGCACGGGATAGGTGACCTCAGGGCCATTCTCACTGGCGGCCCCAGAGGGACATCCTGCATCCCCAGGATCCCCTTCTCTCCCTAGCTCTCTGCAGCCCCTCAACCTCCACCCCTTCCTCCTCTGCCCAGTCGGGTCTCGCCACCCCCCTCCCCAAGGAGTCAGCCCCTTCCCTACAGAAATAAGCACATTTCCACCTGCTAGGAGTCTTCTGGGTGCTGACACACGTGCAGCCTCCACAGCCCACCGCTCTTCACTCCTTTGCCCAGTCACAGAGCTTCTCCCACGCAGGAGCGGGGGCTCCCCCTCACCCCGGTACCCAGAGTCTGAGCCATTTCCACCAAGGGCCCGCAGAGCCCAGGCCCTGTAGCTGTGTCACAAGCGCACGCTGAAGGGGGCAGGATCCAGCCTCCTGACCCACCTGGGCACTGGCGGACCGGCCCTTAGGGGTCAGACATCAACCCGCCGCTTGGCCCTGAAGGGCGCCGGTGACCCCCAAGCCTTCCCCAGCCTGAATTTCAAACCAGCAGAGAGATGGACAAACACGTGAGAGGAAGCCATCAAAGCTGCTCTCTGAAAAAGCTGGATGTGGGGATGTGCGGCCATAAGGGGATCCCTAAAACTGAACCCCCAGATGGGGCTTACAGGGGAGGAGGTGGAGGGAGAAGCATGAGGGGGCAGAGAGAAAGAGGGAGGGAGGGACGAGCTCGGCCTGTGGCAGACGCCTCCTGCCGGTGCTGTGGCCCCAGTCTTGGCCCGTCCCAGCCAGACCCAGGCCCGTGCCTTCGCCTTCGGGGGCAAGAAAGGGCAGAAGAGGGAAGAAGATGCCCCCGCCCAGCAAAGGTAATAGTCCATGCCATCCCATCTTCCGGTCTCCCGCCCTTTGGACAGCGATTCTTAGGCTCTGAAGGAAAGTTCCATGGACAGAAGCAGCCTCCCCACCCCCTTCATCGCTAGATCATCTGGGGCCTCCTCCTCCCCCTCCACGTCCTCCCCAGCTTTCCGGGAGGCTTCTCTCCTCCCCCCAGACTCACCTCAGGCTGCAAGGACAAAGCAGCCTCCACTTAAAAACCCTTAAACCGGGCCCTCCCTGGTGGCGCAGCGGGTTAAAGCACTGCACTAAGAATCTAAACCCACTTCCGCATGAGTTCTATTCCCGCCTGCCCTGGAGGTGACCACATGGCGCAGCAGACCTCTCCTGACCCGCCCGCTGCTCCCCTCAGCAGTGTACTTCCTCGATCTGTCTGTTCTGCTCCCCACTCTGTCTCTGGTGAATCCTCTCACCTCCGCATCTCTGGCCTGTACCACAGTTCTGTATAAATAAATAAATAAATAAATAAATCTTAAAAAAAAAAAACCTTAAACTGTCCCCAACCTGGGGTCACGTGGGCCCCTGGGGTCACGTGGGCCCCTGCCACCTTGAGCTTCTTTTACCTTTGAGCGACTTCCAGAAACCTAAGAGCTTCCTCCGCAGCCCACTGCGGTGGGTTCAGATTCTCTCCAGCCCTGTGCTCAAAGGCTGGACCCCAGCTCTCCCGAGGCCTGGGCTGGGCCTGGCAGAAGGTTGACATTTCCCTCTCCCCCTCCCCCCAAAACTCCCCCCAAATCTCCTAGGAAGCAGAGCGGCCGAGGACAGGTGGGGTGCAGAGATGCTTTGGGGGCTTTGCACAGACAAGTAGATTCCTGGGAGCTGGGGCTCTTCCCTGGGGTCCCCTGGGGTCCTTCCCCCCACCCCGGCCCTGACTGTGACTCCCGTGCTCCCTTCCAGCCGCCCCCGCCCCACTGCCCTCCCTTGAGCCCTGGATTGGGAGGACAGGGCACAGAATTACTTTCACTTCCTTTTCCCCACTTGGGCGGGGCTCTGGGGGTGGGTGGCTCATAACTTTCCTGCTGGGAAACTTAAGTTTCAGGCTGGGGACAGTCAGTCAGCCACCCTCTACCAGGCAGGCTAGACCGGAGAGACAGAGAGACGCTCAGGACCCACGGGTGCGGTGACCCACGATGGCCAATGCCAGCAGAGACCTCAGCACCAGGTCAGTCTGCCCCCCATCCTTCAGCCCTTCTCTCCGGCCAGGGTGCTGCCCTGGGGTCTCTAGTGCAGACACTGAGCTAAACCTCGGCTCTGGCGTCTCGCAAGCCCCCCCACTAGCAGCGTGCAGAAAGGCGGGAGCGGTGCAGGCGGCGGGGCTCTGGGCCCTTCAAACTGCAGCACAGAGCTGCTGGCGTGAGTCCAGCTGTCCTGGCCGTAAGCTGCAGGGCAGCTTACGGCCTTCGGGGCCGCTTTGCTGTCAGGCTCCCTCCGGTCTGTTATTCCGGTGACCTCAGAACCCTCAAACTTCCTTCCCACCTCTTCAACTTTCAAATAGTTGTTATCAGTGCAAAAGTCAGGGTAAGCATTTGGCTGTTTACAGATACCAGGTGCCAGCCCCCAGCCTGCTCCCCTTTTTCCCTGGGGGTCTTGGTTCCTCCTCCTTTGATTTGGGCTACAGGAAAAGAAAGATCCAGGATGCCAGAGATGGATTATAACCACGATGAGAGGGGTAGACATCCTAGCTTTTCCTCTAGGGATAGGTCAAGTAACATACAGAGTACTTTCCAGATTTTTTAATAAAAAGAAATATGCATTCTTGATCCTAAGATTTCAAAGGACATTGAAGTATCTGGAGGGGGGAAGTTCAGATCACCACCCAGCACCCCGCTGGGCCTCAGCCCAGTCCTGTCAGTGCTGGGATGTGTCTGTATAGGTCTTTTTCTTATGCACTTACATACAGAATTTATTTTCCCCAGTACATCATTCATGCTCTTGTCTTTTAGTCAGTGGGATGATGCTGTCTATACCATTTTGTATCTTGCATTTTCACTTATTTTGTTAGTGAAAATCTTGGAGAGCTTTTCACTTCATTAAAATCTGGTTCTACCTCATTCTTTTTAATGGGTATATAGTGCTCTGTGAAATCCAGGCAGCGATGTGTAAGCCATTTCCACCCGGGTCATTTTCAGTTCACTTTGCCAAACCAGCTGTGGTAACCTGCTTCTGCTTTTCTACATACTAAGCATTTACCTTGCATCAATAGAACCGCAATTCATTAAAAAAAAAAAAGAAAGTAGAGGGCCCTCGCTGGTGGTGCAAGGGGTTAAGGTGAAGTACTGTGAAGCTGTCTGCAGCCACCAAAGCGTGAGTTCGAGCCCCGGCCACGTTGTTGACCCACAGGGCGTGGCAGGCCTCTCCTGTCTCGCCCGCTGCGCCCCTCAGCAGTGGATTTCAATCAATCTGCCTGTTCTGTTCCCCACTCTTCTCTCTGGTGAGTCCTCTCACCCCCCCACCCCATATTTGGCCTGTACTCCAGTTCTTGTATGCATAAATAAATAATATCTTGAAAAAATAAAAATAAAAAAGAAAGTGGAATTGCTGAGACAAAGGCTATAATATTTGCTTGTTCAGAGTCTGCCAAATGGCCTTTCGAACTGGTGGGCCCATCTGTCAGCGTGAATAGCGAGGGAGAGGTGGCGGGCGGAACGAACGAACACAGGCAACCCTTTCATGTGCATGTTCTGGTGACACGGGAAATGGAATCTTTTTTCATGTGATTGATCATTTAAATTGCCTCTTCTATGAACTGCTGGTTTAATCTCTGCCAGTGCTGATTCAGTGGAGGGCTATTCTTTCTTTCATAATTAAATATTCTGAAAGTGATTAATATGGTTTCTTTGCCTTTTAACTTTGCTCACATCCCTGTCCTGGGATGGGGCTTATGCTGCGGTGGCTGCAGATAGCTTCACAGTGCTGTGCCTCATCCCCTTGAATGAGTCACCAGAAAGGGCTGATCCTTATACTTTCAAGTAAAACCAAAATTATGGCTCCCAGAGGGGAAGAGGTAGGCAGGGGTAAGTAAATCAGAGACGCAGTGATGACAACAGTCTTCCGCAGTGACATAATGCAATAATGCAGGTGCTGAATTACAAGGCTGTCTGGGGGAACCTGCACCTTGTTAAAAATCAGTGTTACTTCAATTAAAAATAAAACAAACTATGAAGTTCAAACTTAATGTTCCAGCAGTTCATTACTGAGTTATAAAAATAAATTGAACCTTGCCAAATTCTTTAATTCTCATGACTTACTCAGAGATACAGGTGCGTACATACGTGGATGATATCTGTGAATTTACATCAGGACAATTCTGTTTCTTCCTGTGTCCTCCCATTTTTCCCTTGCTACCCTGTCAGCAGAGGCTCTGGATATGCTGACTGCAAGGCGGGTAACAATCAGATGTGTCTTGACCTCAGGCCCAGAGGAAAGTTTCAGTCGCTGCATAATTATGGATAATGTTTGCTATGGTTTTCTTTTTTTTTTTCTTCGAAGATTTTTATTTATTTGTGCATACAGAGTTGGGTTACGGGCCAGAGGCGCAGGTGTGGTACCAGAGACAGAGCGGGGAGCAGAACAGGCCGACTGAGGAAGTCCACTGCTGAGGGGAGCAGCGGGTGGGTCAGGAGAGGTCTGCCACGCCCTGTGGTCACCTCCAGTCACCTCCGGGGCAGGCGGGAATCGAACTCATGCGGAAGTGGCTTCAGCGTCTCAGCACTGTGCTATAACCCACTGCACCACCAGGGAGGGCCTGGTTTTCTTTTTTAATAAAAAGACTTACATGGATTAAAGAAGTCCAATCGTTGGCATTTTATACTTCCGGTGTTTGAGATGGGCCTGGCCCTGTTCTCTACTCTTCCTGCTGCTTCTCACAAGTGTTTTAAACGAGCTTATTATTTTGGAATCACAGACCGTCGGCAAGGGAGCATAGAAGCCTCCACTTGAGCACACTTGGCGTCACTGCCTGCAAACTGAGCCTCTGACATGGCGGTGGCCCATCTATCTAAACGAGAAGGCATGAGTGGGGTGCTCTCGAATCCCCAGCTTCTGTCATTCTCGAGCGTGTTTCCAAAATACCCTTTTCCTGTTGCAGCTTAATCCCTTTCTGCCCCTCTGCTTTGTGACAGATTCTCAGTCTCCCCCAGCCCTTGAGACCATGGCAGTTGGAGGAGATCAGACACATTGTGGGTGTCCCTTGAGATTGGTTGATTGTGAGGTTTCCCATGTTTGTGCTGGGGGGACGGGGGTTTTGAAAGAAGGCCCAAGGGCGAGTGCCTCCCCGTCGCCTGCAGTGGGGAAAAGCCAGCCTGTCCTACCCCTTGCTGTTCGTCTTGGCCTTTGGTCAAATGGTGCGTGACGTTCGGCACTCGAAGGTCCTTTTGCCCTCCCGCCCTTCCTCCCGAAGGCTGTTTTCTAGGCTGATGGTGTGCTAGCGTCTTATTTGAGGAAAAATATATGAATGGGTGAAATTTAGGCCTTCAGTGAAGACGCCTGCCCTTCGTGGAGGTTTGCATTCGGTTGTTGTTGGGGAGACCGGTGGGCCCCGGGGAGCTGTGGGTGGGGGGTGCAGTGGAGCCAGGTGCTGTTGCTGTACTGGTCCCTAGCCCAGAGCCGTCCCCTCCCCTCCCCTTCTCACAGTGAAACCGTGACTGCCGTGGCCTGGCCCCCCTGGACTCTCGCCATGTCGACTCTTGATCTCGTGGCTCCGGAGGAGGCTGATGGCGGGCTGGGCAAACACCCTCAGACTCCCGCTCGCCAGCCCCCCTGCGTCTCCCCTTTTTTTTGCCCGTAAACCCTCTCTGTACTTTCAGGGGTGGATGGCCTGAGTCCTTCAAGGCTTAATAGCATTTAAATATCATCCAACTCAAGTTTTTAAACACAAGGCCATATTGCGGTGGGTGTTGCAGGGCTTGAGTCACCCCCATCAGCTCGCGCCCCAAACTTCAGGCCACTGATTGAGATTGACAGATTCTGAGTTTTTCAAACTTTTTGGCTTGAGGTTTGGCTGCTACTCATGAAATTTTTCCCTCACTGCCTCTAAGAATTTTCTCTTGGCAAGGAAACATGAGTCTAAGTTTGATTTTTTTGTTTTGTTTTGTGTTGTTCTCATTGTTTCTATTTTGCATTGTTCTTGTAGCCATTTCTTGAATTTGGGTGTTGATACCATTATCTGTTTGGGGAAGCCCTCGGCCATTGTTTCTCGAAGTATTTCCCCTGCCCCCACCCGACTCTCTGCCCACCTTTTCTTTTTTAAAGATTTATTTATTTGTGCATACAGAACTGGGGTACAGGCCAGAGGCTCAGGGCAGCGAGAGGCTTCACCAGAGACAGAGCAGGGAGCAGAACAGGCAGATCGACGAAGTCCACTGCTGAGGGGAGCAGCGGGCGGGTCAGGAGAGGTCTGCCGCGCCATGTGGTCACCTCCGGGGCAGGCGGGGATCGAACTCATGCGGAAGTGGCTTTAGATTCTCAGTGCTGTGCTTTAACCCGCTGCGCCACCAGGGAGTCTGCCCACCTTTTCTAGAACGCCGGTCTGTCATGCTAGAACATGTTTCTCATACAGTCTTGCTATCTTGTGTTGATCTCTTGTCTCATTTGTTCATTCACTGTTTTGCCTTTTTTCTCTCTAATCTGCTAAATCCTTCCATTAACAAAGTGTTGTTTTTTTTTTCAGATCAAAAATGGTTATTTTATGTTTTGTAGGGTCCAATTCTCTAGTGGAATTCTCCAGCTTTCTATTTTCTCCATCGCATGGGCCACTTTCCAGTGAATTTCAGCCTTTGCACACTCACACCATTCTGGATCATCCACGCATCTGTCCCATATCACTTTTCTCCTGTTTGGGTTGACAATCCAGTCCTCTGACGCACCTACACATTTGTTATTGAGTGTCAGACATCGTGTGTATAAGAGTTGGTGCCTCTGGGTGCTGTGATCCTTCCCTGAGGTGAGCCCTCTGCAGGACAGAGGTGAGGTAATACATCAGGTGACCTGAAGCAAATCAGGACGTGAAGAGTTGGCATCGCTGATCATGTCTAATACACTTCTGGCCCCTGGTGCTGGCCCAAGGACTTCCAGCGTTCTCAGCCGAGAGTACAGTTGAGTCAACTCTTCTTTTTAAAATCTATCATAGTTTCAGTTTCTTGTTTCACTTGGAAATGTTCTTGAGGAGACACAAAACCAGGATTTAAGTCCTTTGAAGTCTCTGATGTTCACTCCAACCCCATATGAGCGTCCAGTTTGCCGTTTCGTTTCTCTAGCCACAACCCCATGCTATGCCAGGCTCATGTGGTCAGCCTTGGCTCTGTCCAAAGTGACCTGTTCTCAAGGGCAAAACGGCTGCCGACTCAGCTCACCACCCTCCTGAGGGATTTCCACTTACTCCTTTTCTGTTTTATAGAACTTATTATGATCATCTAGCTTCTCTGTTTGGCAAGCTTGCAAGTAATTCTGTCTTGCTTTTGAGATTTTGACATGGTTTCTCCCGTCTCCTTAGCTGAGCAAGTTCACTAAATATGGTAGCCCCGTATGACAAGTTCTTCTGCTTCCACAATTCTCAGCATCACTCCTTGGCCTCGAACAAGCCCAAACCCTCAGCCTCCATTCCCAGAATCGGTAGATACCTGCAGGGAAAGAAAACCAAAGATGATAAGTCCCTAGGAGACGCTGTCTGGTCTCCTAATCTTAGTGTTTCCTGTTCAAGTTGCTGCCTAGTCTTGCTTCAGTGGGGAGGGGGCCGGGGAAAAGGGAGGAGAGGGACTTTCCGCCCAGCTCTTCTGACTGCTCTGCACTATATTTTTTGGCCCGCCTCAAACATTCCATCCCAGCCGCTGATGGATTTTTTTAATTAACCTTTTTTTTTTTAATTTTCTTACAACATTGTTTGTTTTGCACAATGACTGACTTCTCCCCTACAACTCTTGAACCATTGTGGTAGCTGTGATCTGGAGGCACCACAGGCATCACAGTCCCTCTGCTCTTTTCTCCCCCTCTTACTTTGCCCCCCACCCACTCCCCTGCTGGGGACCCCAGATCTATGGCTTACCTGCCCGTGTGGTCTTTTTCCTGCCCCTCTGCTCGGTTTTCCTACAGTCCCCTATAAGTGAGGCCATCGGAATTTTTTCACTTAACATCTAACTTCTTTCACCTAGCATAACCCCTTTTAGCTCCACCTCTGATAAAATTTTAGTCAACTGTTTTACACAGGAACTACTCAAAAATCAATTTTTACACAGAGTCAAATGCACGAATGCTAATTGTCTTCTGTTCAAGAATGCCTTCCATGTGCTCAGAATTCTAACCCCGTCTGCCTGTATATCCTTTTGATATTTTATTTACTCATGAACAAATATTTCCCGACAACATTTTCTTGGCACTTGATTAGATGCCTGAATGTGATAGTGAGTAAGCAGACCAGTCCCTGCCCCAAGGGAGATGATATTCTGGAAGAAAGGAAACAATAATTAGTATACAATTTAAAGGCAGACAGTGTAAGCACATGGCAGCCACTTCAGTGGGAGTTCGATCCCCAGCCAGGGTGATGAGTCACAGGGTGCAGCAGACCTCTCCTGTCTCCCTGCTGCTCCCCTCAGCAGTGGATTTCAGTAGATCTGCCCATTCTGCTCCCCACTTTGTCTTTGGTGAATCCTCACATGGCCCCTGACCTCTGACCTGTACCCCTGTATGCATGAATAAATACATCTTTAAAAAAAAAAACTCTATGGGAGAAAATAATAGCAGGGTACATGGATGGAGTGGAATGGAGAAACTATTTTAAACAGGAAATCACATGGTGTTTTTTTTTTTTTTAAGAAACTAATCTTCTGTGAAAATCCTGAATGGATTGAGAAGAGCACCATGTACATTCCTAAAGAAATGACCTAACTAAAGGAGCACTATTGAGCATGCTTGGAATGTCTGAGGAGCTGGGGAGTTAAGGGGCCGTGGCAATGAATTAGAAGCAGAGTGGCTGGAAATGAGGTTGGACAGCTACCAAGGTGGGCTGTGTAGCTCCTTAGAGGTCATGCTCAAGACCGCAGGTGTTTTGTTTTGTTTTTTAAGGTTGATTTATTTATGCATACAAGAACTGGAATACAGGCCACAGGTGGGGGGGTGGTGAGAGGGTTCTTCAGAGACAGAGTGGGGAGCAGAACAGGCATATCCACTGAAATCCACGGCTGAGGGGAGCGGCAGGGAGACAGGAGAAGTCTGCTGCGCCCTGTGGGTCACCCCCTGGCCAGGGATCTAACTCGTGCTGCAGTGGCTGCCGGTAAGTTCACAGTGCTGGGCTTTAACCCGTTGCGCCACCAGGGAGGGCCCAAGACTTTAGGTTTTATTCAAAGGAAATGAGTCCCTGGAAGACTTTCAGTAAAGTGAAATGATCTGAGGTCAGTTTTGAAGACCCCTCTTTATGTTTTGGGTTTGAAGAACAACTTCAGTGTGGCACAAGTGGCAGCGGAGAAACTGGACCCAGCCCAAGTCTGTGCTGTTCTGTATAATGATGTTGCCTTGGGAAATTGCTTAGCTCCTCGGTGCCTCGCAGTTACTGTCAGGATTCTAAGAATAAGTGTATGTGAGTGCTGAGAATGATACTTAGCATTCAGCGAATATTACATGCCCTTACTAAATCCTATATAGTAGAAAAATAAATGATGAGTAGATTTCAAAGGTGATTCAAAAGTTCAGTGAACAATTCTTACCTGGCTACACATGAAAAGGCTGCCAGTGTCATCACAGCAGAGATGGTTGAGTGTAACTCTGTAGTCCTGAGAAAGGAGAGATTCTAGAGAGACACATTTGGGAAGTATCCATTTGCTAGTCAAAGCCTTGGAAATGAATCAGGTTACATAGAGAAGGAGCATCAACAGAGAAGAGGTCCGTGTAATATCTGTAGGAAGAACAGAACTAATAGCAAAGGAGGTGGCAGGAAAACAAACATAAATGGCAACTCAGAAGTCAGATGAACACAGAATTTCCAGAAGTGAAGCGAGGAGGTGGAGAAAGATGAAGACTGAAAAATAGTCGGGATTTTGGTCAGGGAAGACATTAGGCAGAATGTATAGGTAGGGGTAAAACTTGAGTAATTTAAAACTCAAAGTGCTCAAGTACCCTACAAAAGATGAATGGAGAAAATATGGAGCATGTATTCGGTGGAATATTACACAGCTGTGAAGGAAAATGAAGTGGTGGTACTTGGGACAAAATTGATGGATTTTGAAGGGTTTATGTTGAGTGAAATCAGTCAAAAGTGAGATACAGATTTTAGGTGGTTTTATTCATCTGCAAAAAAAATTACACACAAACAATAGAATGAATACAATTTTGAACTTGGCAAAAAAGGAGATAATGGTTACCAAAGAGAATAGGGGAAAGGGTGGAAGGAAATGGTGGAGGGGGAGTGGTGGACATGAGTGATTTGGACGAGGGAAGAAAAATGAACATTAAAAAATAACTGAAGCTGGCCCTCCCTGGTGGCGCAGCGGGTTAATGCACTGCAAAAAGAAGCGTAAGCCACTGCCACATGAGTTCCATCCCGCCTGCCCTGGAGGAGATCCACATGGCGCAGCAGACCTCTCCTGACCTGCCCGCTGCTCCCCTCAGCAGTGGACTTTGTCGATCTGCCTGTTCTGCTCCCCACTCTATCCCTGGTGAATTCTCTCACCCTCCGCATCTCTGGCCTGTACCCCAGTTCTGTATGAATAAATAAATCTTAAAAAAAAAATAACTGAAGCTGAAGGAGTGAGGTTGCATCTTATCCTTGACCCTGCACATTTTCTTCCTTTCATGTTCTTCTTTTTTTCTTTAAGACTTACTTATTTATTCATACAGAACTGGGGTACAAGCCAGAGATGCAGGGGTGGCGAGAGGCTTCACCAGAGACAGAGTGGGAAGCAGGACAGGCAGATGGACGAAGTCCACTGCTGCGGGGAGCAGCGGGCGGGTCAGGAGAGGTCTGCCATCACCTCCCTGGCCAGGAATTGAACTTGTGGTGAAACAGTTGGGGCGAGCTTCATAGGCCGCCCTTTAACCCATTGTGCCACCAGGGAGAGCCCTAAAAGTTAAAAAAAATTAAATTAAAAAATTAAATGCTGGATATATGAGGACATCTTTACACTGAGATCAAGACAGACTGGATTTTTTCGGACTTGTGCTAAAGTCTCCTAACCTTCATGCTTCTTCAGTCATATCTTTGGTTACTGCTTCGATTCCTTTTATTCTAGTTTCTACCCAAACCAGTTATTTCAGATATGTTGGTTCTTCACAGCCTATCCTTTATATATATAATCTTACAGCCTTCCCAAGCATCTCAGTACCTCATTGGCCATTTTTTTCTGTTATCCTTCCTCCCTAGGATGGTCAGCAAAGACCAGAACACAAATGAAAGGATTGTGCGTGAACTGCTATTCAGCCACTTCAGAAGACATAAAGTGGAGATTTCAAACGCCATAAAAAAGACATTTCCTTTCCTTGAAACCCTCCATGACCGTGAGTTCATCAGCGACAAACTGTATACAGTAAGTCAAGTTTGTATGTCACAGTCTGGCTAACTGGCCAGACTGGTTATGCTTTGCTATCCGAAACCCAGAAGTCCTCACCGCTAGGCGACGGAGGGGTTGCCTTCGAGTGGGGGCCTTGTCAAGTATTGTTCCAGGTGTTTCTCTAAGATAAAAAGACAAAGGAGAAGGAGCATGTCCAGAGCCAGTCCTGCGGCTAGCTAGAGAAACTGGGGCAGTGGTGTGCTCTGGGGTTGGGGTGAGCAGAGCTCTCGGCATGGGGGTTAATATTGGCAAAAGGCGTCGTCGGCGTAGAGACGTGCCTGTCCCATCTCTGCCCCCCTCTGAACGTGTTTTCTACGGCCAAGGGACAAAAGCAAAGAAGCATCTCCGGCTTCCTGGAGCCCTTCAAGTAAGTCAGGGGTGGGGGAGGCCGGGTTTTCCAGTCAACAGGACTTGTCACCCGCTGAGCCTCCGCCTGAAACACTTGAGCAGCTGCTCTCAGGGAAAGCATGTAGGTGGGAACCCACCATTGTTCCTCAAAATCTCTTCTTACGTGAAATGGAAAGACGGGTAAAGAGATCAGATTCCCACGTGGGTATTTTTTCTTTTCTTTTCTTTTTTATAATTTTTTTTTAGATTTATTTATTTGTGCATACAGAACTGGGTACAGACCAGAGGCTCAGGGGCGGCGAGAGTCTTCACCAGAGACAGAGTGGGGAGCAGAACAGGCAGATCAACTGAGTACACTGCTGAGGGGAGCAGCGGGGGGGTCAGGAGAGGTCTGCCGCGCCATGTGGTCACCTCCGGGGCAGGCAGGAATCGAACTCATGCGGAAGCGGCTTTAGATTCTCAGTGCTGTGCTTTAACCCGCTGCGCCACCAGGGAGGGCCCCCCACGTGGGTATTTTAAGAAGGAAGGGTGTACTTGCTTCTGGTCGTAGCCACCCGAATGCACAGAGGGCCGGTTCCTTTCCGTGAGCCGGCGTGGGCCGCTGGAGTGCATGACTGCACCGCCAATCCTGGGACTCTCTGTCATTGAAAAGTGTGTGTCTATATTTTCTCCATTCAATATTTTTTAAGGACTGTCAAGAATCATGTAGAAACCTGGTTCCTGTACAAAACGTGGTGTACAATGTCCTCAGTGAGGTGGAGAAGACATTTGACTTGAAATTTCTGGACGCGCTGTTCAGCGAAGTCCACATGGAGGAGTATCCAGAGTTACGCTCTGTTCATAGTGACTTTCAAAATGGTAACTAGATTTATTTCCTATCTTTTGGTGTCCAGAGCCCATTCAAAATTTCTTAAAGATCGATTTATTTATGCATACAAGAGCTGGGGTGCAGGCCACAGGTGCAGGGTAAGAGGATTCCCCAGAGACAGTGGGGAGCAGAACAGGTGGATCTACTGAAATCCACTGCTGACGGGAGCAGCGGGGAGACAGGAGCGGCCTGCTGCGCCCTGTGGGCCCCTGCCTGGCTGGGGATGGTGCCCATGCTGCGGTGGCTGCGGACACTTCCTAGTGCTGAGACTGATCCCTTGTGCTTGGGTCCATGTGTGTACCCAGGATGTGCCGGGCATGGGCACGGAGGGACGGCAGCTACCTCTGCTGCCCACATCTAGGGGTTCTGATCCTCTCTGTGGACTTGGGGACCCTCCATGACCCACTGCCACCCACCTGTCCCTGGAGGGTGTTGTCCACGGAAGCTGCCCACCAGTGGCCAAAGCCAGGGTGGCAGAAGGCTGGGAGTGACGCCCACTCCTGCTCGGCCAGCGTTGTGTCCTAGCACCGCAGTGACTAAGAAAGAAACGTGAGTCGTGGAGCAGGCTCCTGGCTGCAGGAGGCTGCGAGCGAGCAAGATCCTGGCCTTTCTGTTGACAGCGAAGCCTGGGTCAACTGAACACCGGGCTTGGGGCTTCAGGGCGGGTGAGAACGCCCTACCTCCAGCCCCTGGCTCCAGTCTTACTAACGAGGCCCCGGTGATCAGTCCTGCTCCTGCTTGTAGTCCCGCCCGCAGTCCAGCCCCACCTGCGTCCAGCACACAGACGGCGCGGCCTGGACCCCTCTGTGCAGTGACCGCCACGGCCCCCTTCACCTCGTCCGGCACGCTGTTCTCCTGCCTCCCGCCTGATTTTGTCTGATGAAGGCTTGGGGGTGACAAAGCATCCTGCCCAACGAGGGTGTTGCGGGAGGTGCTCCTGCCTCAGTCCTGGGGAAGCGCCAACCCCACACCTGCCGGGCTCCCCCTCCCTCACTCTTTGCAGAGACCTGCCCCTTCCTCCTGCGTCTGGGTCCCTTCCCGCAGGCCAGGTCCTGGCTTCCCCTGGGTGACGCCCTGCAGAGCCCAGCCCTCACGTCTCTGGGAGCTTCCGGGGCAAACGGGCTCTGCTCCTTGTAGCTTCAGGGTCCTTCTTCTGTCCCGGGACCCGCTCCCACCCTGGAGGACTGACCGGCTCTCCCAGAGGCCTCTGCGCCGAGGGTCTGTCTCGGAGTCAGCCATCCCCTGCCGGATGCATCCAGGCCTGCCCTTGCCTGAGCACATCACATGGGCCTGGGACTCTCCTGACGCTCACGTCTGTGTAGGACCCTCGTCTCCCACCGAGGAAGCCCCTCACTGTCCCCTCAGCACACCCACTTCCACTGTTACTGTCATATGTGCTTTCCGTGGCATCTTCGATATGTTTATGCACCATGCTATGTCCACCCCTCACCCTCCCAGAGGGCGGCGCCTTTCTGCAGGGCAACATTACAACTTTCCCACTGGGTCTTTTTGATAGTGAATGCCGACCTCGGTTTCCCTCAGCCGGAAAAAGGAAACAGAGCTTAAGGAAAAAATAGTGGTTTAATATGTCCACAAATGAAGGGGGCAGCAGGCTCATGTCTGGAAAACAGCCCCCCGCTCTTTGTTGGGGGGCTAGGGGTTTATACAGATGGGGAAAAAAGGGGAGGTAGGCAAGGATCTGCAAGGGGGAGGTAGGAAATCTGCAGGGGGTCGGGGAGGGGTCGGCACGGAGACTGAGACCATTGGGCGCCAGAGGCTTTCTTCCACTACTGCTGTTGAACTCCCTTTTCCTTGGAGTGCAAGAAGACAAGCCTGCAAACAAGGGGGGACAGCAAGAGGTGGGGGGGAAGGCCCACTTGTCACTGCTTGTCTGAGAGACCGGTCGTTCCTGACTGGCCCCACCCTGGGGATCACAGGGAGCCTTGTGTAAGGACGGCGCCCCTGTGCCCAGGGACCCGAGGCCTGGAGACCCCACACGCTGGGGCTGTTCTGGTCTCTGACGGGGATCTCTAAGCGTCTGTCTCTCTCCCTCTTTCCAGTGATCCAAGCGATAGCTCGTCACCCACAAGGTGATGGAGCGGAGGCAGTGGAGCGGCCCGACAGCCAGCTGAGCCTCGAACAAGGTGATTGCAGCCCATCAACACTGACGCTCACCTGCTAAAGGGAAGCGGGGCTCGGGGTTCTGAATAAAGACGTGAATTGGGGAGGAAATGTGGACTGTGGAGAAGGCCAGGGCTGGGGGCCAGCAGCTGACCAGAGGTGGGGCCTGGAGGGTCAGCTGGGCAGGAGACTGTTGGTGCCATAGCCAAGACAAAGGAACAGAGCCAACCCAGACTTAAAGAGAACACCTGCTGGGAGCAGACAGTTCCTTGCAGACCACCCACGTGACGCGTGAAGGAGCGAGAACTTGGGCCCAAGGTTACATCAGAGAGGAAAACTTCGCCAGTGGCAGAAAAGGAACTGATTTAAAGTGGGGGTGCTGTTCACGGGCAGGCCTGCTTCAGGGGAAAGGGCGAGAGAGAAGGTTGAAGTGGCAGCTGAGGAGTGAGGAAGTGGGTGCTCAGAGAGAAGAGGAAGGGGGGGTGTGGGGGCGCAATGAAAGAGCCCTGTGGTAAGAGCGCACTGGCATCTGGGGTGTAGCGGTTGCAGCTGCTGCTGGAGGTGAGCACCCCCGCCCGTGCCCTTTCTGGAAAGTGGTAGCGGACATCTGGAGCCACGAGTTGTTGGCCTAGAGTCAAATGAGCAGGGATGACCCCAAGGCCTGTTGACTTCAAATGCAGGTGGAATTCACGCAGGGCAGCTGAGCCGCCCAGTGACAGGCCCGTGGTGGCCAGCACCGACAGCCTGCAGCAGCGCCTGGCTCCAGAGGAAACTCCACAGGCAGGAAACACTACAGGGCCAGGGAGAGAGGCGCACCCCTGAACCCGCAAACCTGCCTGCTCTAAATAGCTTCTTCCCCCGCCGCATCAAGACAAGACATAAGGGCTTTCATGGAAAGGAACTTTAATACAATGAGTATACAATACAGGAAAGACAAAGAATATAGTTTCTAATCAAACACCCAAAGTGACCCATCCCTTCGGGGGTGAAAGTCCACCCAAAAGGGACTGTTCCAGAGCAAGGCCTGAAAGCTTGTCACAAGGCTAAAGCGAAAGCACCTTCTGGCCAGACCCATAGGAAAGGGTCAGACAGGGCCAGACAAGTCTGGGGGAAAAGAGCACAATCCAAATCAACATAAACGCAGCCACAGCCACCGCCCCGCAGGTCTCTCACCCACAGCTGTCTCACCCAGACCATGGCCGAGAGGCAAGCTCGTCTCTTCACGTGTCTCTGCTCTGAGACTCCCTCAGGCCTCCTTCTGGCTCCATCCTGCTTCCTTCCTCCTCAGATTCCTTCTCTTCTCTGCTCTGCTCAGCTCCACCCTCCTGGGTGGGGCCGGGAGCCTGGAACTTCCCTTCTCCTGGGGACCCCCCTGTTACAGAAACACCTCCCCAGCCGGCCCCCAGCAAACACTGATATTCTTTCTGTCCTGTGGATTTGCCTACTCTGGGTATTTTCATACAGAGAATATGTGTGACTTGCAGGCTTAGCAGAGTGTGGGCGGCCGGGGCTGGTCCACCTTTGGCTCTTGTAACAGACCTGCCTTCTTGACCCTCACAGGACCCAGGAAGCAAACTGGGGAACTAAGGGCAGAGATCAGGCTGCAGAGAGAAGATGCCGGGAGCCAGAGGGCCTGGAGGACACTCTGTGACCAGGGAGGGGCAGATGAGCTGAGAGAGGGCAGGCAGGCCCAGACACAGCGGGGAGCCCCACGGCAGCTCTGGGGCGGGGCAGAGCCGCTGAGGCCGGGCGTCTGGGTCAAGACCGGCCACCAGCACTGCACGGGCGCAGCTGGCTGGGCCGGGCCGGGGCCGACTCAGAGCCGTGGGCTCCGGTCCAGGTGGCTGTGTTGATGCCAGCAGGGTCCTCAGCTCCGGCTGTACGAGGAGGTTCTAGGGAGAACAGCATCTTCAATTTCTGTACAAATTTCCTAATTTCTCCTCCCTAGGGACTGGAGAAAGCGCCTGTCAAAGCCTCACCTGGCGGCCAGCGGACTCCTCAGCTCACACAGGTCTGGGCCTGCCCCTGTGGCCTGTGCTACTTGGGGCCTGTCCTGGAACGTGCTGCGGGTGGGGGCGGGAGCGGGACTTCGTCTCACTGGCAGCTCTGAACTCTCCGTCTCTGCCTTAATTTCTCCCTCACAGGCCTGTGCTCTGGTTGCCTGGGCGGGTGGGGGTGCTGTGGCACCCCCTCCTTAAATACTGCCTGCCAGCTGGCTCTAAGCCTCCACTTCTCTTGGGTGCTGGCGTCTCAGGTTTCTGCCTGGTCTTGTTTCAATCTGGGAGCCACTGCTTTGCTTTGATGTCATGTCCAGCTGTGGCCAGTGGAGGACAGTGGGGAGCACGTACAGTGTGGGGGGGCCGCCTGCCTGTTTGGTCCTTTAGGCAGAACCCTAGCTGCCAGGGCCCCCTCCCTCCCTCCCCCCACCCACCTCGCAACCGGGGCCCCTGGGCAGCAGGCCTAGAGCACCCCCAAACACCAGACAGGTCTCCCAGGACACCCACTGGCACATTAGCTACCAGTGACCCCTGTGGACAAGTCTTGGCCGTTCCAGTTACTGCTGTTGGACGTGCCTCAGAGCGGGGGCAGGCAGAGCAGAGCCCCGCGAGGGGCCAAGTCCATCACAATGACCAGATGTGCTGATCTTTCAGACTATCCCCCACGGTGCTGGACCACGTGTCCGCGAATGTTCTCAGGAGCTCCATAGTGATGGTGTCGCGTCCGCATGGCTCAGAGGAGAGAGGTTCAGCTGAGAGGGCCGGTGGCTCTTTGTGCAGTCCATGCAGTGGAGGGCCAGCGTCGGCTGTGAGGCCGGCCCTGTCCGGGCGCCCCTGGCTTCCTTGCCCCTCAGTCTCATCATCTGTAAGGCGGGTGTGAGGCAGCGTCAGGACACGGGTTAGCTTGTCCCGTACAGCACCGTGTGTGTGGTCACCAGTGATGGTCACTCGCCACGGTCATCTGCACCTGACACCAGAGCCCACACATTCAGGGGTGACAGCAGAGTCTGCAATTTGCTCCGCTTCCAGCTCTCCACCGCGGGTTGAATCCTAGCCCAGGCTGGGGAAGCCACGAGCGCAGCATCCAGCCCGACCCCAAGCCGAGGGGGTGAGCCGGACTCCCTGCCCACTGCTCTGTCCTCACCCCGGCTTGTCTCTGGAGGCCAGGGACATGGAGGCGTCTCGGCAGCGGCCTACGCCGTGGGGAGCCCTACTCCACAGCCTCCCGCTGACTGTGTTATTAGGGAAGGGTGTTCTAAATCATGATACAGGTTTGTGGAGGAAGGAGCACTTCGGGGTGATTTTTAAGAGCATCGTGGTACCTTTAGCAAATGATGTGTATCCAAAAATTAACATTTAAAAATAGCTCTTTAGCATGCATGCTTCCTATTCTGACCTAGCACCTCCTGGGGGAGGCAGCTGTGGGGAGAAGGGGTGAGTGGGTGGGATGTGAGCAGAGAAGAGGGGGACCAGTGTGTGTGTGCTCGCAGGGTGCGAGAGGAGAGACAGTGAGAGTCTTTATAACACAGTGTGGGCTGGGCAGCCCCGCCTGAGCGTGGACACCAGGCCTCGGGGGACAAGGCCACGTGACTGGAAGAGGAACCTCAAGCTACCCCGCCTCCCCTCCCCAGCAGAAGCGTGTCTGTGAGGGGGACCAGGCAGGGACGCTGGGCTGGGGGGGTGGGCGGGTGAGGACTGTCTCCCTCCTGCGGCGACCAGCAGGCTCCAGAGCCTGAGCACACGCCACAGCCACAGCCACACGCCACATGCCACAAGCCACATGCCACACGCCACAAGCCACATACCACACGCCATGGCCACTCGGCTCTAGGGCTCTGGGAGTTGTCGTTTGGTTCACTTTCAACCAAGACACTTCACACAAAGTACTTTACTTAGAAAAACAGCACTGGATGGCAAAGTCCAAATTGCACTCAACGAGGAATCTCCCCCTCTCCCCAGTGGCCTCGGGGTTCAGTCTCAGCACTGTCACTGCCGCTGCCAGAGTTCGACCCCAGCCAGGGAGGGGCCCCCAGGGCGCGGCAGGCCCTTCCTGTCTCCCCGCTGCTCCCCGGCAGTGTGTTTTAGTAGCTCTGCCTGTTCTGCTCCCCATCTGTCTCTGGGGAGTCTGTTCACCCTCCGCACTGCTGGCCTGCACCCCAGTTCTTCTATGCCTAAATAAATAAATAATAAATCTTTTTAAAAAATAAAACAAAACATGCATTTCTCCATTCCTGTGTGAGGTGGGCCCAGCAGGTGTGAGAGGTGAAAAGCAGGAGCCTCCCAGCCGTCCCTGCTCTGCACCGCTGTGTCTGGCCCCTGGACACCCCATGTGCTTCTGCGCCCTGCTTGTCTGCCTCCTCACAGGGGGGACACGGTGAAGGGGTGTAGAGGGTGTCCGGGAGATGTGGGCATTCCCCCCTGCCCAGCGCCCCCCATTCCAGCTCGGGCGGGGCAGGATGACTCCCCGCCTGTACTCACTCCCCGCCTCTCCCAAAGCCTGCAGCTGCTCCCATTTGGGCTTCTCAGCCGTCCGCCTGCCGCCATGACGCACCTGCATAAATCCCTCTGCTCTGACTCTTACATAGGCTCGTGTCTTCCATAATACAAGAGACTAATAAAATCTCTGAGTCAAAATGTGGTTTAGGTACAAGCCCGCCTGACAGCGGCGCCTCGGAGAGCTGCTTGGACACGGGAGAGGCCAGCGCCGGCCACGGCGACGGTGCCCCAGCGGGCCAGCAAGACCACGAACAGGGGGCCCAAGGTGAGCCGCCTCCGGGCTGGGTGCTGTGAGTGGGAGCCTGGCTGGGGCCTGGCTGGAGGCCGGGCGGGTGATGTGCGACACAGCAGACTTGCTGACAGATGCGAGGGGACGGCCGGTAGTTCAGAGGGAAGAGACGGGAGGAGAAAGTTAGAGGCAGAAAGCTGACAGGCAGCGGGCAGAGTCTCAAGACGCCACTGGGGAAGAGGCAGGCACAGAAGTCAAAGGCAGGGGGAAGTGGCCGGCAAGCCGCGGGTGAGGGTGGCCGCGTGGACAGTGGGTGCTGTGGGAAAACCGAGACGGGAGGACGAGCCAAGGACGTGCCGCAGGGCACGAGCAGGCAGAGCAGGGCGCCACGAGCCGGCCACGTCTGCAAAAACAATGGGGATGAGAAAGGGGTCCCCCCCAGCGTCCCCTGCCAACACATCGCCAGTCCCCACGGTCTCGTTCAAACTTTGGTTTTCTATGAAAGTCAGACCTTTCCTTTATTCTCCCACGCTAAGCACCCTCACCCCAGTGCCACTCAAGACAGAGGCTGGTGCACAGACTCGGGGGGCTTTTAGCAGTAGTGAGGTGCAAGAGAGAGCAAGCGGGGGTCTCAGTGGAGGCAGCTCCCTGGGAAGAGAATGCGCAGAGACCGTGTGGTAGAGTGGTCTGGGAGCAGGAAATCACAAAGTGCAGATGAGACCTAAGCGGTTGGGTAAAGGGGCATGGCACCCCAACACTGTCATGTGGGGCATGGCACCCCAACACTGCCAGCTTTCAGCCTCGGTGAAATGAAATCAGTTGCGGCTTCCTCTTCGGTAGTTATAGCAGATCCTGGAAACCAAGCAAGGGGCCGTTGGCGGGATTTGCTAGTAAGCAAGGCCAGGGGAAGCCTTCGAGAGGAAGAGTCGGTGCAGGGACTCGGTGGTGGCCGCTCCCCAGAGGAGAACTCGGTCACGGTTTCAGTGCGTGAGGCGGCCAAGATCTGCAGAAAGACAAAATTGTTATAGAAGCGGCATCCAGAGTCACAGTACAAGTGGGGGTGAGGGGTAGAATGAGAGTCCAGGAGCCCTAACAGAGAGCAGAGACACTGAAAGATTGGGGCGGGGAGCAGGGCCAGGCCCCCAAGAGGCTGAGAAGCCCTGGGACACGTGTGGGGGAGCTCCCTCTGTTATTACTCTCTTTTCTTTTTTGATTTGTTTGTTTGCATGCAGGACTGGGGTATAGGCCAGAGGTGCAGAGCGGGGAGAGGATTCACCAGAGACAGAGTGGGGAGCAGAACAGGCCGACTGACAAAGTCCACTGCTGAGGGGAAGCAGCGGGCGGGTCAGGAGAGGTCTGCCGCGCCATGTGGTCGGTCACCTCCGGGGCAGGCGGGGA